CGTCTGGCCTTTTACCCAAAACCTGCCCAGCACGGTTAAAACTACCAGGAACTGAGGTCCCAACTAGTTCAGCCTCCGGGATCACCAAGGCAGGTGAGGCGCAACACTTTGGAAGGTCAAATGTGCCGAGACTAATGTTATTGAGCAAAAAACAATAGGTTTTCCTTATAAGGATTTAATTCGTCACATATCAAATGCCATGTTTGAACCGGGCCTAAGCAATAGATGATGACAACGTTAACATCTCAAAAACAAGAGCTCTGCACATGTGGCTTATTATTTGGTACATTTTTTTGACGTCCACCGGGTGATTATGATATGAAACTTTGTAACGGGATGTTTTTGGGTAGACTTAAGGACACGATGACGAATTGTCCTTTCTCCTTTTCGATACTTCCACAAACAGTCAACTCTCGGCTGGTGCACGAAATACCAGGTGAATAGCATAGGAAAAGTATAGGTGCTATATGAATATTTATTATTATTATTATTATTATTATTATTAGCAAGTCTGGAGTGACATCACAAATAAACACAACAATGATACCTAGCCCTAACACAATAACATAATAAACTTCACACAATAGAACGACACAACAGTGCATATAATATTTATTGACTTGGTATATCGAGCATCACCTCAACTCCCAGGAGGGAGGCTAAAGAACAGAGATAGAGTTTACAAGAACATAATGTAAAGCAAAATACCTGAGAGCTTGGAGCAGATGTTGATGAGATTGTACTCTTGACAGGAGAAGCCTGTTTTGACACCTTCTTTTCCTTCTTTTCTGGTGTTTTGTTTGTTTTAGTTTTTTGGGATTTCGTTAGTGTTGCAGTTGAAGGCGTCACAGGTAACTTTGCTGGCTTGGCTGACTTAGTTGACGATCTACCAATAGCAAAATAAACTTTAACTTAAAACATTTCCAAAAGTGACTGACATCACTTTTCTCCCAACAACATCATACATCATCAAGAACAAAGGTAAGCTCTATTTATTATTATATTTTTTACATTTCTGTCCACCTACCTCTCCCCTAAGCCAGCATTTTGCCCTAAGTGAGAAGTAAGTGTTGGCTTAGGGGAGGGGTAGGTGAGCAGTTTCCCAACCCCAATATCCACATACAAATTCTCGAGACTAATTCAGTCACATAACCTTCAAGAATTTTAGAATTGAAAGAATATGATTAAAGATCAAGGCCTTTTTCCTTTGATGATAATTCGTCAATTCTGGTAGCTTATAAGCTTTATGAATAATAAATAATCCGAAATGGTTACAGTGTAAATTAAACCTTTTTTGCTACCCCCTCCCAAAAGAATGCACCTTATTGGAGTGTCAATAAATTCAGCACGAAAGTAATAATTGAGGACACTACATGTATGTATTTTGAAGTCTCCTTCTAAAGAAAGGATGCCATTTTACGTGGTCATCCAAGCCACGTGAAGGTCTAGCCCTTTGCCAGGCTAGGGAAGTACATTCATTTGTTACATAAGTATTTATATCTTTAAGACCTTGAGTATAAGTGAGGCCCCAGGAATTGAACCCACAACCTACTCAGTTTTGTGGTCAAAACTAAAGTGATTAAGCGGACACCTTCGGGAACTTCCCAGGTGTCTGCTTAACAGAGGTTTGTAAAAATTGTGCAACGTTTGTTAACTATTAATAATTAACATTCAACGGTTACTCTGTACTGTGATAAAGTTCCATGTTGTTAAGGAAGCTAAGAAAGATGCGCTGTACTTTGTGCAAGACTTTGAGGTGATTTTTGATCGTGGATGACAATCATGGATCGTGGATGACAGCTAAATGTATTGATTCACCTTTATTAATTGACTACAGTACATATTTCGAGGACATAATCCAATACTACTTTGGTCAATTCAGTCTGGTGTCCATTTAACAGAGGTTTTAACAATAGATATTAGCAAAATACAATTTATTTTAGTGTCCGCGTCTGCTTAATAGAGGTGTCCGCCGAATAGGGGTTCATTGTAAAGGGAAATATAAGACATTAATTTCAGGACCTGGCTTAGTGTCCACTTAATAGAGGGTGTCCACTTAATTTGGGGGTCCACTTAAACTAAGAGGTTTCACTGTAATATGCTTTTGGCAAAAATATCAACTCAAGAGAGTTTAAAAATAGCAGAATATCCACTCTACCAATTAACACGTTTAGGCCGCCAGTCTAGAGATCCATATGGCTCTTTCAAATCACAACATTGATGTCAGAATCCTTGCTTAGGGTTATTGTGTCACCATCGTTGGTCTATCTCTACTTTGAACTTGACATTGGGCAAGACGAAATTTGCAAACCCTAGTTCATCAAGCAAGAAATTGAATGAATTGCTCTTTTTTGATTCGTTCATTTTGTTCCTTTTTGTTATCTCCTAGTATTTTGTAGTCATTCACATAGGGGACGTCTTTTTGACAGGTGTCTAATAAAATTATTTTATACAGCATAGAGGGGGCCTTTACTAGATAACAGGTGTTTAGTAGGTCATTTACAGCAATCCTGCCACGGCCAAAGTGAAAGTTCAAATTACTTGATTAAGGGCGGAGGTTAGATAAATAAACTGCTGTTGCCTTTAATAATAATTATTATTATAGCCTGCATTAAAAGGGGAAGAGGAAGGGGCAACTCGGGTGCACAAGAGCACAAGGGCTGTACTGGGAGGGGGAAAAGGGAACACTAACCCTCATTTTGCTTGACAGAATAATACAAATATTCACACCAGGAAGGGGAGATGTACCACAAAAAGCTGAAAAGGACCATACCTTACTTTCTTGAGTTGTGGAACAGCTGACTCAATTCTTTCCAGTGTGAATGTCTGAAAGAAATGAATTACATCAGTTCCATTGTTACTTTGACATTTACTGTTGTACAGTCATAATTTTGTCACAATTTTGTAGATCATTGTTAGTGACAAGTGGTCAGCAGCTATGTAAATTTCTTGGAACAAAAGAATGTTTTTACATGAGAAAAGAGTTCAATTCCCGCAGGATCATTGTATTGTACACCAATATGGCCGGCGTGACGTTTTGTGAAAACAATCTATACAGTAAAGTCATGAAGCCTCAAACATCAAGCAGGCCTCTTAGCACCTTGGATGTTGAAGCAGGGTTTATGTTGCAGCATGCAAAGAAAGTAGTGTCCAATAGCCTGGGGGCTAGCAGATTTTGCTATCAGGCTAGTGAGTTCTGTTCTTATGCCCTACGGGCAAGCGATGTTTATGGGGAATTAAAATCACCAAAGAACTGTAATCAAACCTGCTCATCAAAAACTGTTTTTCGTACTAGTTGAAATGACATTTAGGCTAGTACTGCTAGCTACAGCTTTCCCGAATGGCAAGCTGTAAAACTGTCTTTCTTTGCACCCTACATTGTGACAATGTTTCTGGATACTTTCCCAGGGAGACCTGTGTTTTACAAACTGATAAAAAAAACACCCCAAAATCAAGTCATAAATAAAAGGTAAATCCGTGATTCTAATTACGTTTTACCCTACACTACATCTTTCATACCACAAAATTATAGAAAATAATAATAATTATTATTATTAGACTAACTTGTACCTTTTTCTCTTTGTCAACAACCAAGATAAATTCCTTAGTGCAGCTTCTTTTGGATCCTCGATAAACTGTTGTTCCAGAATCCTACAAGAAATTGAAAATCTGGTCCCCCAAACTGGTACAGGACTTAATCTACTTTTACCCACTGAAATATGTGCTTGAGCACTATAAAAGTTTATTCTTGCTGCATTACTAAATTGAAATTAAAATAAAATGCCACATTGGGTGAAAAAATTGGCAGTTGAGACAACTTTATTTTAGCTTTTGATTAACCCATTTGCCCCTGAACTGGCTTTAACCAACCGTGCAAGATCCACATCCTTCCTACCATGGTGAAGTCATCAGTTTTAGTCATTAGTTTTTTTTAAGGATGACTTTGTCATCTAACTTGTGCAGCTACCGTGAGGAGATCTTTCTAATCATACCAGAACGAGCACAATTCAGACAAGAGGAAAATGGAAAAAACCAGAAAACAGCTCGATCAGCCTCTAAAGGCAACTTTTAGAAACATTCCCATCACAAATGGGTAAAATAAAAAACAAAATTTTTACCTGGACATGGGGAACTGTTACTGTGATCTCATCCTTTTCACCAACAACAAGTTCAGCTGGTCTTGAGGTGTCAACTGAAGCAGGCTTGAAATCATCTATGATAACAGCAAATATAGTACATGTATCATTCACTAATAAATTAAAAAATTTACTCTTTTACTGGCATACAAAAATGAATCATCAGCCTGTCCTGAAAATATAATGTTTAAAATATCTTTTCAGCGTGTTTTTTAGAGTGACAATAATTTGTGGGGTCACCTTGTTTAGAGGTCAAGCTACATAGACCTCAGGGAGCCGGCTCACTTATGCAAGTTCAGAGAAATGTTCCATCACATGAGGAAAATGGGCCAAGGAAAAGTGAGCCTGCACGTAAGCTATTGATTTTTAACACCCCGCGTTTGCTGATGAATGCAGCGATCTAATTGGTTAAAAGTGACAGGCGTCGACGGGTAACATAGCTGTGACAAAAACCATGGACACGCGGCACAAACATTCACACATCATTGGATCAAAGTTAATGATAAAAAGAGTCGGTAGGCCTGCACTACTTTTGCCTCAAATGCCACTTAGTTTTATTCACAATTTTCTTTCAAACGGGTAGATTATTATGCTCTGGAGGATTCTTAATTTGGACTGAGCAAATTCAGTAGCCTATTTTTGTCACTTGTCTCACACTGAGAGGTCATGAAGTTGGTCTGTTTCACGCAAGGTCACATTTAGAAGCTGCCCTGTTTCTAGCGGATAGATAATGCTTTGGGAGGTTGATTAATATTTACAGAGAAAAAAAATATTTTTGCTGCTTGTCGAAATAAAAGTGGTCTGTCAAGTGGTCTGCTTCTCGAAAATTGATCTCTTTGGTGTTTGTTTCTCACCATATTTGACCTCTGAAGCAGATTAGCATGACATCTGCATGTGCAACTTCTGTCAGTTTTTTTACTTTTGTTTTGCTCCTATTGGATAGTATGTTGACACCTTGAAAGGGGCGTAATTAAAAAATCAATAGCCCACATACAGGCTCACTGTTCCCCGCTGGATGTTGGCTCCGCCGCCAAAATAATTTTTTTCCCAAAATTCGCACACTGGATGTTGGCTCCGCTGCCAAAATAATTTTCCCCAAATTTGCACAAGCGAGACTGCTCACAGGCTACAGGGGGGTATTCCTGGGAATTCATGGTGTGGGTGTGCCACCCAGTTCTCCAAATCCTGACCCCATTTCAGACCACAAAATTATCATTTTCCACACCAGTTCTCAACCCTGGCCTCCAAAATCCATATCCGTTTTCAGACCTGGTGTAGGCAGAAATTATGCTATCCTTACATATACATGTACTTAGATTTCAACACCAACAAAAATATTTCTTAAAATTCATTTCGAATTTGCACGTCAATACTCATTCTTTCTTATTCATTTGGAATTGAAACAATAAAATTAATACGTTTATGCCCTCCCGTTTTCCCTCGAAAACTATACCCAAATTCAGACCAAAATAGGCAAAGTCTACACCCGTTTTCAGACCAAAATGGAGCAAAAACCATACCGTTTGGGGCAGCACATACCTATAAGGCAAATAATTATAGGGGCCTTGGTTCAGCATTTGCACCACTCTAACTCTTAATTTGTGAACCACAAAAGAACCTCAAAAAAAAAAAAAAAAAAGAAAAAAAGCCAGCTATGCAGGCTATTTCGTTCCCAACAATGATCCCAGGATTGATCAACGTCTATTTTCTCCCACGGAGACGCTCGTTCGGCACAATAGAGTGAACAACTTTCCAAAAAATTAAATTCAATAACGAAAAAATATTCCAGACATTGTTTCTTTCATTTCCTCGTTATCTTTTGCTCTCATTTTGGTATTTACCGTTTGTTTTTCCCTATTTAGCTTTTAAAGTTTTTCAAAATAAACAGCTGCCCTCTCTTCAGTTCTAACGACACAACGTGTGAACAACAAATATTGCAAGAAACTCAACCTTACATCGTATGGTGTGAAAAGCCATCTTCGGTCCTCCTTTTGAATGAAAGCTACTCCCGAGTTTCAGTTCAAATTCCCGGTCGTCGTTGAAAGGAAATTCGCTGCTGTTGCCTGAAGCCGCCATATTGGCATAACATAAGTCAGCAGTAGAGAGTACAGCGGCTTCTAAGATGAGTACATGCGCGATTCTGTTTCAACATGGCGGCCGAATGATGGAATATATACCCGTATTCCCGGGAAAATTACTGTTGTGCAAACCAAAGAGATATGAGAGCGATTTTCAAAAAAATTGCCAGTTGAAGGAGGAAGTGTTCAAAGGAGCAGTTACAAATATGATCGTCGTTGAAAAGTCGCTCTTATGATGCACTTTGCTACATGGACGATCACGTTAAAATATGAGCTGTAATAGGAACTGTGTCAACAAGAAGTTGTGTTCAGACTCTAATTCAGTCGATCAAAGGTTACACCTTGATAATGGACTTTTTTTAAATGAACTGCCACAGGAAAGTGTAAATGATCTAAATGTAAACACATCTGTTCTTCTGATTGAACCATTTTATGGTGGGTCGCACAAACAGCTGGTCGATTTACTCACAAAGGAAATTCCAGGCTGCGTGTTGCATTGTTTACCTGCAAAGAAATGGCACTGGAGAATGCGAACAGCCGCTCTGTGGTTCTCTCAAAATATTCCCCATTGCATGAAATACAAGTAAGTTCTGCATCTTCGTCTTCAGGAAAGGAAATAAGCATTTTTTCCTACAATTGAGGTTAAAAGTGTTGGGACATCCTTTCCTCTCCAAACAGTGTTGAATTTTGAGAAAAATGGAAGGAGACGAGTCCTTAATAGCCCACATTCGATATATAACAATCCTAACATGACTTCAAGACTTAAGGGTCAAAATTGCAATTTTTCACCACTCCATTGTCTTGAAATTCCCTTTATAGACTTGAGCACACAGAAAACCAAACCAAATATAGAAAAATGCCCAGAAAGCCTTGGAGTCATGTTAGAATTTTAATACACCAAACATGGGCTATTGGCCACAACACTGCTGGGTTTAAGTTGGGGGACGAAAGGATGAAGCCAAAGTTGATCAAAAAATTGTCATTAGGAGCAGAGTCCTTTGTAACAATTATTTGACCTCCATTGTAGCTTTTGATGTATCTGCACAGTTAACCTTGCAATAAAACTGCATCTTGGGACATTCCGTTTTTTTATCCACTCCCCTTATGGATGACATGAATCTGATCCCTGTTTTTTTAGTCCTTTTTTAA